TTGATCTAATGTATCTGAAGCTGGGAAAAGGCAGAAAATGCTCTTTTCCTCTCCCTTAGGCATTCTCCATATTCTTGTTTTATAAACTCCTCTGCCTGATTGACTGAATCTTGTAGTCCAGAGGACTTACTGAATCTAGATCTCTTTTAAATTTTAAACCAATGAGCAGAAGGGGTCAGGAAAGACAGAGTCCAAGTGTATCACAGGTCTTCTTCCACCCCCAGCCGCCCGGGGGCCTGGTTATGGCATCCAGTCGATCCGAGTGGATGGCAATGATGTCTTTGCTGTGTACAATGCTACCAAGGAAGCCCGACGTCGCGCCGTTGCAGAGAACCAGCCATTTCTCATTGAGGCCATGACCTACAGGTAGGTTCGGAGGTGAAAGGTGGGAGTGGAGCTCAGACAGGGTGGCATTCAGGGTGTGCCCATTGAGTTTGTGCCCACTGCCGTGATTCCTTGTCCTCCCAGGATCGGGCACCACAGCACCAGCGACGACAGCTCAGCCTATCGCTCCGTAGATGAAGTCAATTACTGGGACAAGCAAGACCACCCCATCTCTCGTCTCCGTCACTACATGGTGAACCGGAACTGGTGGGACGAGGAGCAGGAGAAGAGCTGGCGCAAGACATCTCGCAAACGGGTAAGCGGCTGAGCTGAAAGACCACCTGCCTTGGTGCCAGTATAGCAGTGTTTCTCAACCTTGGCAACTTTAAGATGGGCGGACTTCAACTCCCAGAATCCCCCAGCCATCATGCAACTTTAAGATGGGTGGACAACTCCCAGAATTCCCCATCCAGCCATGCTGGCTGGGGAATTGTAGGAGTTGAAATCTACCCATCTTAAAGTTGTTTGGGTTGAGAAACACTACTGTAGAGAGTTACCAAGATGATCTTGCAAAGGGAAGCAACAGTGAAGCATGTTTTAACCCGGGAAAGAGAAAGCATTAGAAAGAAGCTTAAAGTAACTTTGCCTTAACACTCTTTGGTAAAAGAGGGAGGGGAAGGAAAAACGCTGTCTGGTTTCCAAGACTGGGTTACGATAGCCCCTATCAATAAAGGAGGGCTCCAATATTTCTTGCGGAGTCTGTTTCCTGACCTGGCCTCCTACCTTGAAGGGCCGGTCTCAATCTTGAAAGCCCGTGTCAGCCCCACCAGGTAGGCCAGACCAGGAAATCAACTCCACAGGAAGGCTAAGACTATTTTATTGAGACGGGCCATACCAACAGAATCTTGCAATCTGATGATGCCGTGCCTCCTCCCCTTCTTATACCCGTGAGAATTAGGGAGATGTTTGTCTAAGGCGCTTCGGCATACTTTCTGTTTGTTTGAGCCTTAAGCCTTGTTTTTCTCCTTGATTTGCCAGTCGATCTGGATTATCTCTACGGAGGTCATCTTCCTTTCCCTCTACAACCTGGCAGCATTTCCCTGCCTCCCTCTTAGGCCAAAAAGGGTTCAGATGGAGCCAGTCAAAGTCTCTCTCTCGTGTTCTGTTCCTTTCCTGGGCTTCAAACGTTCCACCAACCGTCGCATTCCTCTTCCAAGATCATCTCAGTGATCCTCTACAGCAGTATTTCTCAACCTTGGTGGCTGGAAGGTGTGTGGACTTCCTCTCCCAGAATTCCCCAGCCAGCGTGGGTGAAGATGCTGGCTGGGGAATTCTGGGAGTTGAAGTCCCCACATATTAAAGTTGCTGAGGTTAAGAAGCACTGGCCTAATGGATGCTTTGCACACATTTTAACCACCTGCTTGGGGAGACCAAGGTTTGAGACAACAAGGGTGGGAAACTCCTCTGAGAAGGACAGACCCTTTTCTCCTGCCGCTTCCTCTCGAAAGGCTCACTAGTGGTCATGCAGCAGGGCTGAAATTTCTCCTCTTGCCGCGTATAAGCATTCCAAGGTGACCATATTCTGGCCTCCATAGGGATGATTTGATTCTGCCTTGCGTCCACACGCATCTTCTGTACCTCAATGCGTTCCCCTCGCTTTGGCAACCCCTAAAATACTTGCTGAGGGCGATTCTCATGGGAGAGCTCTGGGTGCCCCGTTCTGAGAAGGAAACAGCCCCGTCTTTGGGACTAGAAACATTCTCGTCGCCTGGGCCTTTGCCCGGCGGTGCTTTGAAAAAAGATATCCAATTTATTTCTTCCCCCTTCCCCCTGCCCTTCTGCAGCAGCATCCCCCCCGAGACAGGAACGATCTCTGAGATTTGGCAGGGGGAAGCATCTGCCCCGGCTTCAGTGTTGCGCTCCCCCCTTTCTCCAGGTGATGGAGGCCCTCGAGGAGGCGGAGCGCAAGCTGAAGCCGAGACCTCAGCTCCTCTTCTCGGACGTTTACTGCGAGATGCCCCAGCACATCAAGAAGCAACAGCAGGGCTTGGAGCGCCATCTGAAGCAATACGGAGAACATTACCCCCTGGACCACTACGAGAAATGACCGGCTGCCTAGTAGGAAGCTCTCCTCACATCCCTGTTCCCCACCCCTGAGGGCTGCTGCCCCCACCAGGGTGCCAGCGGGCTCGCTGGCATCTTCAACACCTCCCTGGTTGCCCCAAAGTCTCCATTGTTCTGCGGTCAGGGGGCGCCCTCTGGCTTCCATCCACCCCTCTTCTTGCCTTTCAGCCAGAGCCTCCCTGGGCCCCGCCAAGATTTCCTTATGAAAGGGCAGGGCGGCTGGTGCTTTGCTTTCTGTCCCTTCCAGCTGAACGGCCTTCCATTATTATTTTTTTCTTTTTTAAAGGCAAGCCGAGAAGAAGAGAGCCTGCCTGGGGCTTGGTCAGCCTGCGGCAAGAGGCTGAAGTGGGATTGGGGAACCCGCTTTCTGGGGAAGTTAAACGGAGGGTTAACGCGTGCGTTGCTCGGTGTATTTCTGTAAACATCTGGGGTGGGGTGGGGTGGAATCTCTCTGAATATCCCTCCTTCATTCTAAGAGGGTCAAGCATCAGATATTTGAGGACTTCGACCTAGCTTTGCCCTGAATTTGGTTTCTGGAGCAAGGGACGATTCGTCTCCCCGTTTGGCTTCCTGGGTTCTTTTCTTGGAAAACAACAGGGCTGGGGTTATTGCACTGTTTGGGGGTCAAATACATAGCTTGGTAGTTGGGCACTGTCTGGGACTCCATTTTATGAGGAACACGCTCATCTTTTATGATTGAGACCGACCACCCTCACCCCGGCAGTCAGTTTGTGCTGCTGCCAGCAATAGCTGCTTCGAATTTCAAAATCTGCCCTCAAGGGGCCCTTTGGGAAAGCTCCCTTTTCACCTATTTGTAAAGCAAAGGGGATGTCTCTTCCTCGTAGCTACTCCCTTGTCACTATAGCAATAGTCAGAGGTTCTCAGAGCAGTAGCGGTTGCTAGGGATTTGCAGAAGGCTGGTGAGGACCGAGGCCCAGAAGCTGCGTTCCCGGATGCCCTGAGTGGCTCCGAATGATCCGGCGATGGTTATTTTGCACAAAAAGCTGAAAAAAACCTTTGAGCTGCACATGCAATCTCGAAAACCACAGAAACGTGTCCCAGCTCAGTGGCCGTGGACTGGAGTTGCCTTATCTTGCTGCTTTCTAGGCTAAAGGACTTTCTTGGGCTCTAACATATCCACCTTCCTTGTTGTTCTGCCCCAATTCAGCTAGCAAATCGGGGTCACCTTGGCGTCTGGCTAAGGAAGAGGCCGGGTTTCTCAAATGGCTCTCCAGGGGGGAATATTGCTTTAGGAAAACCCATAGACCGAGCGGAAGGCTTGAAAGGGGGTGCCCCCGGGCCTTCCAAGAAGCCCACCGTTGAAAGAGACATGACAAATGACTTCTTTGCGAGATCTGTAGATTCAGCCCCAAATCAGTCACCAGCTAATTTATCGTAACACTACAGGGGTGTCCTTCCAAGGATGCTGCTGCCAGTGTTGAATGTCTGCAGATTTCTTTGGGACTGGGACGTCTTTGAACGACAGGGGAGACCAGCAATGGCTTTCGAAATGAGTGAGTCTGGGGCTGTAAAAGCAGGAAAAAGGGATCCGGATCGAGCCTTCTCCTTGCGACTTTTGCCCTGACCAAAGGGTGCGTTTTTCCCGGCGCCTTCGTGGTATAAGGAGAACTCTGGCGGTTCTGCTATTTATTCAAAAGCTGTTACAAGTGAAAATAACAATTATTGTGGATTAAGGGAATAATGGGTCAGTGCCAGCCTATCGAATCGTATATATGGGGCAAGTTGCAAAATCAATAAATATTTTTCTGGCCAGTGGCTCCTGCGTGTGAATACCTGGGTGGAGGAGCACCATCTGCCCAACTCTCAAAATGTTCTTCCTAGCATTTTGTGTGTGTGTGTGTGTGTGTATGTGTATGTCTGTCTGTCTGTCTGTCTGTCTGTCGTGGCACAGTTTCAAAACTGCCTCCTTGCAAAAATCAGGGTCAGTTACTAAATCTGCAGGAGTTAGCCGGCTGCTT